GTGGTGATCTCACTGATGTCAACAACTACAGACCTATATCAATTCTGCCAACCTTGTCAAAAATATTTGAAAAACCTCATGCAGCTTTACTCTTATCTAGCCAAACTCAATATACTTAGCTCTTGTCAATATGGCTTCGGACCTAAAAAAAAAAAAAGCACTAACGATGCACTTATTAGTATGATTAACTTGATACATGCAGCTCTTGATAAAAATGAGTTCCCTGTTGGGTTATTTGTGGACCTGCGTAAGGCTTTTGACACTGTCAACCACCAAAACCTTCTTCTTAAATTACAACATTATGGTGTCAGAGGACACTCCCTGTAATATCTTCAATCAATAAAATATCAATCCATCACTCTTTGTAAAATCTCTTGTATGTATGTACCTTACCTAAATAAACATTTGATTTGATTTGATTTGATTTGATTTAATTTGATTCAGTCCTACCTTACTGACAGGCTCCAGTATGTTTCTGTGAATAATTCCATTTCTCCAACCCTACCCAATAACATTGGTGTTCCTCAGGGCAGCATACTTGCCCCTCTCCTCGTTCTCATCTACTTTAATGATCTTCCAAATGCCTCCCAACACCTCAACCCAATCTTATTTGCTGACGACACAACCTTCATTTACTCCAGTCCTGACCCTCTTGCTCTGAATGTTACAGTGAATACTGAACTAAATAAAGTCCATCTTTGGCTAACTGCTAACACACTCACCCTCAACATTGACAAAACTTTCTGTTTTGTTTGGTAATAAATCCTCAAATAAAATTAATCTAAAAATAAACAATATCCAAATTACTAACAAAGATGATGGTAAATTCCTTGGTGTCCTCATCGATAACAAGCTGAATTTCCAGGGACACATTCTAAATATAGCAAAAAAAGTTTCTAAAACTGTTGGCATTCTTTCTAAGATCAGATATTATGTACCTCGCCCTGGCCTGGTGACTCTCTATTACTCTCTCATCTATCCTTATCTCAACTATGGTATTTGTGCTTGGGGTTCTGCTACCCAAAATCATTTATGTCCTCTAATCACCCAATACAAAGCTGCTGTTAGGACAATATCTAACTCTGGCCCCAGACATCACTCGGTACCCTTACTCAAATCTCTGAATATGTTAGATATTAAGTCACTGCACATCCTCTCATGTGTACTCTATATATTTAAAACTTTAAACTGTAATGTCAATCCTGACCTTAAAAGCTTCCTAGAAGGTTGTAACAGAACCCATGAGCACCACACCAGAAACAAATACCTATTTGATATTCCAAGAGTACGACTTAGTCAAACTAGAAATGCTCTACAAATCAAGGGACCCAGAATGTGGAATGACCTTCCTAATCATGTTAAAGACTGTACCTCTCCCAACCAGTTTAAGAGAACAACTAAGTACTACCTAATTAACTCCATGTAACCTACCTTGCCCTCAGTTGTCAACCAATGTCTTGCTGTTATAAACAGTGCTGTTTGTTGACCAACTTGAATAATTGCTATTTTCTGCCATGTTCCCCCCCTTGTGTATATTCATTTTTTCAACACAATTTATACTTTAAGCTCAATTACTATTAAGTTTTAATTGTGCGGCCTCACGATAGGCCTCAATCAGGCCTCACGATCTCGACCTCACGAAACTAACCTCAAGATAGTCTAAGTGGGGTTTTCCCCCACACCTTGCCCGAAACGCTATGCGTATTAGTAGCTTTAAGTATTGTATGTACTACCTCTATCTTTAAATCCAACATTGTGTTTGTAACTCATCTATGTATGTAATTTTACTTGAATAAACATTTGAATTTTGAATTTTGAAATTTTGATTCAGATTCGGAGTCAAGCGTACCTTTGACTTTAAGGAAAAGAATGTAGTTATTCGACTGTATAAATCTGTGGTGCTGATCACTTAGTTTATTGTATCCAAGCAATGAGAGGTCATCTTCAGAAAGACATGGAGAAGCTCTGGAGAAGGTGCAACACCGGGCGACAAATATAATTCCGGAGTTAAGTCACCCCTCATACCAGGAACAGTTGAGGGCCCCAGGCCGAACACTGCAAGGCAGGCGTGACAGGGCGGATTTCATCAAAACTTTTAACATTCTGGACGATTTGGATGATATTGTTCCAGACATCCAGCCGGCCAGAGTCAGCAACCATCCAGCCGGCCCGAGTCAGCAACCATCCAGCCGGCTAGAGTCAGCAACCATCCAGCCGGCCCGAGTCAGCAACCATCCAGCAGGCCAGAGTCAGCAACCATCCAGCCGGCCAAAGTCAGCAACCATCCAGAGCAGTAACCATCAGTAACCATCCATAGTCAGCAACCATCCAGCCGGCCAGTCAGCAACCATCCAGCCGGCCAGAGTCAGCAACCATCCATAGTCAGCAACCATCCAGCCGGCCAGTCAGCAACCATCCAGCCGGCCAGAGTCAGCAACCATCCATAGTCAGCAACTATCCATAGTCAGCAGGCCAGTCAGCAACCATCCAGCAGGCCAGAGTCAGCAACCATCCAGCAGGCCAGAGTCAGCAACCATCCAGCAGGCCAGAGTCAGCAACCATTCAGCCGGCCAGTCAGCAACCATCCAGCAGGCCAGAGTCAGCAACCATCCAGCCGGCCAGAGTCAGCAACCATCCAGCAGGCCAGAGTCAGCAACCATCCAGCCGGCCAGAGTCAGCAACCATTCAGCCGGCCAGAGTCAGCAACCATCAAGCCGGCCAGAGTCAGCAACCATCCAGCCGGCCAAAGTCAGCAACCATCCAGCCGGCCAGAGTCAGCAACCATCCAGCCGGCCAGAGTCAGCAACCATCCAGCCGGCCAGAGTCAGCAACCATCCATAGTCAGCAACCATCCAGCAGGCCAGAGTCAGTAACCATCCAGCCGGCCAGAGTCAGCAACCATTCAGCCGGCCAGTCAGCAACCATCCAACCGGCCAGAGTCAGCAACCATCCAGCAGGCCAGAGTCAGCAACCATCCAGCCGGCCAGAGTCAGCAACCATCCAGCCGGCCAGAGTCAACAATCAGCCCTGGTCAGAGTCAGCAACCATCCAGCCGGCCAGAGTCAGCAACCATCCAGCCGGCCAGAGTCAGCAACCATCCAGCCGGCCAGTCAGCAACCATCCAGCCGGCCAGAGTCAGCAACCATCCAGCAGGCCAGAGTCAGCAACCATCCAGCAGGCCAGAGTCAGCAACCATCCAGCCGGCCAGAGTCAGCAACCATCCAGCCGGCCAGAGTCAGCAACCATCCAGCAGGCCAGAGTCAGCAACCATCCAGCAGGCCAGAGTCAGCAACCATCCGGCAGGCCAGAGTCAGCAACCATCCAGCAGGCCAGAGTCAGCAACCATCCAGCAGGTCAGAGTCAGCAACCATCCAGCCGGCCACAGACAACAATCAGCCCTGGTCAGGAACAGACAGCCACCCCTGTACACAGCCGTAGAACACTCTGAACTGTTCCAGTACCGCGATAAATGATGTTGTTGTTATAGATTCAGCTACTCGGAACAAGTTCCAAGTAGCACGGGCTACGGTGAGCCCGTAGTGGACTTACCTGGCACAGGAGCGGTGGTGACGCATTAAATATGCATGGTCCTGGTTACATAGCGTGGCGGTGGTTGTGTGACGTCACTCCCAGCCTAACTACAAGGTCAGGAGAGGTCAAGCACCTTGCGGAGGGCGACCTTGGGGGTGTCACTAACCCCCTCACCCAAACACCCTAACTCTCAAGTGCTTCAACCTTGACTTTTCATGATGATATTGACTTTGAAAGATCTTTTGTGATAGATATTAAACGTGCACCCTTGGTATATATGTCTATATGGTGCAGTATGGTGCAGGAAGAGTGGCTCCGTCCTCGCCTCACACGGATATAGTGAAGGTTATAGCCTAACTGTTTTTGTACCAGGGATATACGTCGCTTGTATTGTGAGCGGCACATTGGTGCGTTACCCCAATATTAACCTAACTATATATATTTTCCTGTCCGAAACGCTGCGCGTATTAGTTGCTTTACAAGATTGTAATTACTATATTATGTTGTATCGTCACAATCCCAATGTACCTTCTTGTAAATATAAATAAAAATAAATAAATAATATATAATAAATAAATATATATATATATATATATATATATATATATATATATATATATATATATATATATATATATATATATATATATATATATATATATATATAGCGTTGAAATTATATTGGCAATTTCTAAGTCGAGTGAATGAGATAAAACATATATAATGTGATATTATAAAGAATATAAATATACATATAGCAAGATATACTAAAAGACCCAGGAGTTCTATTAACCTGTTAATATTCCCTCTCAGAGTAAAAGTCTAGTTCTATAAATAGTAGTGTGACGGCACAATAATATACACACACAAAGGCTTTGGCACAGCTTAGACGACGTATGAGGAAGCCTAGTTCACATAGGCCAATAATAGGCCTATATGCATCTTTCCATGCGTCTTTAAGATCGCTGTGTGAATTTGTGGATATTTTTGTATTACTTGAAGACGTAAATGAGAGATGAGTTGCGTGGGTGTAGAGATGAGGGTGACTGGTGAGTGTGGGCTTATGTCTCAGGGTCGAATTATGTAATAGATTCTCTACCTCATTTTGTACTTGCTCAACACTTTCAGAAATAAATTAACGTGAATATGATTATTTGTCTAAAACAGGACGCAACAAAAGGTATTTTTTTACTCATTATCTTTGCTGATAAAGACATTTTGCACAATAACCTTGTCCTGCGCCGCCCAGCAAACTTTTAAATAGCGCGCCTTACACACAGGAGTGCAAAATTAATTATTTGTTTAATTACTAAAAAAAAAACAAATACTGTACGCTATTCAACGTCAATTAAATCTATATACTCAAAGTAATAATATGGCATGTGAATAACTCGTCTTTACAGACTGACAGGCGATGTTACTTAATTTTATAATACTTATGTGACGACTTGGATTTCAAGACTGGCAGGGAATATTATTGGAATGGCAGTAACTGGTGAAAATGGCGACAAGTAGTGGAAGGTGTAGCGTCGAGCCGCCACTTTACGGGCCTCACAGTGGACAGGACCCCATTAAGGCATTATATCCCATGGTGAATGAAGACGAGACACCTCTTCCCAGATGCTGGAGTAGTAAAGACAAATACAGTTTCATTGGTTTATCACAAAATAATCTCAGAGTTCACTATAAGGGTAAGTGACTCTGCTCCTGTCTTTGTTTATATTGATATTGGGGGTTCGGGTGGTTCGTGGAGGGCGTCCAGGGCCTTCCAGGAAGGTGGCGTGGGGAGAGGAGTCCTGGCTGCGGGTTGTGGTGAGAGGTGAGGGCTGTGAGGGCCCCAGGAGGGGAGATATTGAGGCGTAATGAGGAGGGTGCGAGTCCTTTGTTTGTGTTTTTGGTGCGATCAGCTGATTGCGACGCACAGTAGTGGAGAGGCTGGCGAGGCCCTCACCACTCTCCCTGAGGCCCTCACCACTCTCCCTGAGGCCCTCACCACTCTCCCTGAGGCCCTCACCACTCTCCCTGAGGCCCTCACCACTCTCCCTGAGGCCCTCACCACTCTCCCTGAGGCCCTCACCACTCTCCCTGAGGCCCTCACCACTCTCCCTGAGGCCCTCACCACTCTCCCTGAGGCCCTCACCACACTCCCCGAGGCCCTCACCACTCTCCCTGAGGCCCTCACCACACTCCCTGAGGCCCTCACCACACTCCCTGAGGCCCTAACCACACTCCCCGAGGCCCTCACCACTCCCTGAGGCCCTCACCACTCCCTGAGGCCCTCACCACTCTCCCTGAGGCCCTCACCACTCTCCCTGAGGCCCTCACCACACTCCCCGAGGCCCTCACCACTCTCCCCGAGGCCCTAACCACACTCCCCGAGGCCCTCACCACTCTCCCGGAGGCCCTCACCACACTCCCAGAGGCCCTCACCACACTCCCCGAGGCCCTCACCACTCTCCCTGAGGCCCTCACCACTCTCTCTGAGGTCCTCACCACACTCCCTGAGGCCCTCACCACTCTCCCAGAGGCCCTCACCACACTCCCCGAGGCCCTCACCACACTCCCCGAGGCCCTCACCACACTCCCCGAGGCCCTCACCACTCTCCCTGAGGCCCTCACCACTCTCCCTGAGGCCCTCACCACTCTCCAGGAGGCCCTCACCACACTCCCCGAGGCCCTCACCACACTCCCCGAGGCCCTCACCACACTCCCCGAGGCCCTCACCACACTCCCCGAGGCCCTCACCACACTCCCCGAGGCCCTCACCACACTCCCCGAGGCCCTCACCACACTCCCCGAGGCCCTCACCACACTCCCCGAGGCCCTCACCACACTCCCCGAGGCCCTCACCACACTCCCCGAGGCCCTCACCACTCTCCCCGAGGCCCTCACCACTCTCCCCGAGGCCCTCACCACTCTCCCCGAGGCCCTCACCACTCTCCCCGAGGCCCTCACCACTCTCCCCGAGGCCCTCACCACTCTCCCCGAGGCCCTCACCACTCTCCCCGAGGCCCTCACCACTCTCCCCGAGGCCCTCACCACTCTCCCCGAGGCCCTCACCACTCTCCCCGAGGCCCTCACCACTCTCCCCGAGGCCCTCACCACCCTCCCCGAGGCCCTCACCACTCTCCCCGAGGCCCTCACCACACTCCCCGAGGCCCTCACCACACTCACTTGAGGCCCTCACCACTCTCCCCGAGGCCCTCACCACACTCACTTGAGGCCCTCGCCACTCTCCCCGAGGCCCTCGCCACTCTCCCCGAGGCCCTCGCCACTCTCCCCGAGGCCCTCGCCACTCTCCCCGAGGCCCTCGCCACTCTCCCCGAGGCCCTCGCCACTCTCCCCGAGGCCCTCGCCACTCTCCCCGAGGCCCTCGCCACTCTCCCCGAGGCCCTCGCCACTCTCCCCGAGGCCCTCGCCACTCTCCCCGAGGCCCTCGCCACTCTCCCCGAGGCCCTCGCCACTCTCCCCGAGGCCCTCGCCACTCTCCCCGAGGCCCTCGCCACTCTCCCCGAGGCCCTCGCCACTCTCCCCGAGGCCCTCGCCACACTCCCCGAGGCCCTCGCCACACTCCCCGAGGCCCTCGCCACACTCCCCGAGGCCCTCGCCACTCTCCCCGAGGCCCTCGCCACTCTCCCCGAGGCCCTCGCCACACTCCCCGAGGCCCTCGCCACACTCCCCGAGGCCCTCGCCACACTCCCCGAGGCCCTCGCCACAGTATTGGCACTCGCCATTCACACTGATGCCCTCGCCAATAACCCTCATGCCCTCACCATGTCACCCACCCACATAAATGTCTTCACTGTTGCCCCTCATACCCTCACCATTTAACAGTAGCTAATGTCCTCGTGCATTCGTCAGGCTCCCTCGTGCATTCGTCAGGCTCCCTCGTGCATTCGTCAGGCTCCCTCGTGCATTCGTCAGGCTCCCTCGTGCATTCGTCAGGCTCCCTCGTGCATTCGTCAGGCTCCCTCGTGCATTCGTCAGGCTCCCTCGTGCATTCGTCAGGCTCCCCCGTGCATTCGTCAGGCTCCCCCGTGCATTCGTCAGGCTCCCTCGTGCATTCGTCAGGCTCCCCCGTGCTGTCGTCAGGCTCCCCCGTGCAGTCGTCAGGCTCCCCCGTGCTGTCGTCAGGCTCCCCCGTGCAGTCGTCAGGCTCCCCCGTGCTGTCGTCAGGCTCCCCCGTGCTGTCGTCAGGCTCCCCCGTGCTGTCGTCAGGCTCCCCCGTGCTGTCGTCAGGCTCCCCCGTGCTGTCGTCAGGCTCCCCCGTGCAGTCGTCAGGCTCCCCCGTGCTGTCGTCAGGCTCCCCCGTGCTGTCGTCAGGCTCCCCCGTGCTGTCGTCAGGCTCCCCCGTGCATTCGTCAGGCTCCCTCGTGCATTCGTCAGGCTCCCTCGTGCATTCGTCAGGCTCCCTCGTGCATTCGTCAGGCTCCCTCGTGCATTCGTCAGGCTCCCTCGTGCTGTCGTCAGGCTCCCCCGTGCATTCGTCAGGCTCCCCCGTGCATTCGTCAGGCTCCCCCGTGCATTCGTCAGGCTCCCCCGTGCTGTCGTCAGGCTCCCCCGTGCTGTCGTCAGGCTCCCCCGTGCAGTCGTCAGGCTCCCCCGTGCTGTCGTCAGGCTCCCCCGTGCTGTCGTCAGGCTCCCCCGTGCAGTCGTCAGGCTCCCCCGTGCTGTCGTCAGGCTCCCCCGTGCTGTCGTCAGGCTCCCCCGTGCTGTCGTCAGGCTCCCCCGTGCTGTCGTCAGGCTCCCCCGTGCTGTCGTCAGGCTCCCCCGTGCTGTCGTCAGGCTCCCCCGTGCTCTCGTCAGGCTCCCTCGTGCATTCGTCAGGCTCCCTCGTGCATTCGTCAGGCTCCCTCGTGCATTCGTCAGGCTCCCCTCGTGCATTCGTCAGGCTCCCTCGTGCATTCGTCAGGCTCCCTCGTGCAGTCGTCAGGCTCCCTCGTGCAGTCGTCAGGCTCCCTCGTGCAGTCGTCAGGCTCCCACGTGCAGTCGTCAGGCTCCCGCGTGCAGTCGTCAGGCTCCCTCCCGTGCAGTCGTCAGGCTCCCTCGTGCAGTCGTCAGGCTCCCAGGTGCAGTCGTCAGGCTCCCCCGTGCAGTCGTCAGGCTCCCCCGTGCAGTCGTCAGGCTCCCCCGTGCATTCGTCAGGCTCCCCCGTGCGTCGTCAGGCTCCCCCGTGCATTCGTCAGGCTCCCCCGTGCTGTCGTCAGGCTCCCCCGTGCTGTCGTCAGGCTCCCCCGTGCTGTCGTCAGGCTCCCCCGTGCTGTCGTCAGGCTCCCCCGTGCTGTCGTCAGGCTCCCCCGTGCTGTCGTCAGGCTCCCCCGTGCTGTCGTCAGGCTCCCCCGTGCTGTCGTCAGGCTCCCCCGTCGTCAGGCTCCCCCGTCTGTCGTCAGGCTCCCCCCCGTGCTGTCGTCAGGCTCCCCCGTGCTGTCGTCAGGCTCCCCCGTGCTGTCGTCAGGCTCCCCCGTGCTGTCGTCAGGCTCCCCCGTGCTGTCGTCAGGCTCCCCCGTGCTGTCGTCAGGCTCCCCCGTGCTGTCGTCAGGCTCCCCCGTGCTGTCGTCAGGCTCCCCCGTGCTGTCGTCAGGCTCCCCCGTGCTGTCGTCAGGCTCCCCCGTGCTGTCGTCAGGCTCCCCCGTGCTGTCGTCAGGCTCCCCCGTGCTGTCGTCAGGCTCCCCCGTGCTGTCGTCAGGCTCCCCCGTGCTGTCGTCAGGCTCCCCCGTGCTGTCGTCAGGCTCCCCCGTGCTGTCGTCAGGCTCCCCCGTGCTGTCGTCAGGCTCCCCCGTGCTGTCGTCAGGCTCCCCCGTGCAGTCGTCAGGCTCCCCCGTGCTGTCGTCAGGCTCCCCCGTGCAGTCGTCAGGCTCCCTCGTGCCCATGCTCACCGCCTTTGCCTGAAACCCTCACACCCTCCTTACCACATTTCATTTTTATATCTAGTAGGGGTATTGGAGACCTTTCCTCTGCATATGCCATTTTAGGCTTACAGTAGTTGAGAAGATCCAAATCCACCAAACATTTGTGACTACAAGCCACCATTTTTGTTATGGTAAATGTAGTGTGTAAACTAGTGTTTTTAATAACCTTGGCCTTGTAGTCTTGCATACAATTGAAATCTTTTGTCCATGTGAACCATTTGCATTAATGTTTGTTTAGCCAAAATTTGTACTGACATTTGTATAGTTTTCTGCTAATCTTACTGCCTGGAAGAGTTTCCTCTAGTACATAAGCCAATGCTTAAGATTCCATGCTTCTCTACACCTAGTCAGTTTCTTAGAATTAGAGCCATTTTCAAGATGTCCAAGATGTATATTTTTGTCAACAGTACGATACTATTACTTTTATCTCACCTAATCACTTTACTGGTCAGTAGAGCAACAACTCTTAATTCTTACAGGGTCAGCATTTGAACCCTGATAGTCCAAGTGGTTGGTCACCATTCCTTCACCTCATCTTCATATCCCAGTTCCTTGCCTTCATATAGGGTTCATTCTCGACTCGCAGTCGGGAATTCCACGTTCGAAATCTGGGTGGGACACACATAGTTGCGTACATTTCCTATCACCTAATGGCCCATGTTCAAGAGTTAGTCGGCTTGTTGTGGGGTTGCATCCTGTGGAGGGTCAGTAGTTTAACCTTGGGGGTGACCTCGATATAAGCTTAACATGTATATATACACTATCTGCCTGTTCCCCAACAC